GCAAACAGCAAGGTTCATACAAACCTCTGCTGTTGCAAACTAAATGCTTGCTAGAAGCAAGAACAAATGATGTATTTAGTCAAATCATAGCTTACACTCTTAGATCAAAAAGGAGTTCTGTATAGAACCTTTTTGGTAAATTCCAATGTTCTATTTCTAAAGGTGCCGCCAGGCATCAATTTGACCCTCATCTAAGCCTGGCAGCCAGCCCCAGAATTTTGGCCAACTTTCTTCAAGTCCAACACCTTGGACAAGCTCATGTTTAGATTGCATGAAAGCTAGTGAGGGCTATGGCAAAAACTGAGAGTTTTCTTCAAAAAATATATGTTTCAACAGTTAAATAATTGAACAGTGCACCAGGAGCAGTGGAGTGATGCCGGGGCACAGGGGCACATTGCCCCCTCAGATTAGTCCTGTTTAAAAAAACAACAACATTTCTTTATATTTTTCGTTATTGTTGTTGTTGTTTCTCTGTAATACTACTAGACACCTAGCAATTTAATGAAGTTGTCTTTAGCTAGCCCAGATAGGTTCCCAATCTCCCAACCTCATAACTAGCTACCAATAAGCCATTTCAGGCTATCAATCAAGTTAGAGTAGCTAGCTGGTCTAACTATTTTAGCTGGCATGCCCAGGTAGGTCACCTGTGATACAAGTCAGTATTTGATACACGTTGGGAGATGACGTGGAAACCGGCTCTATGAGCAACAGTGAGCGCTGTTACCTTCAAGTAGGCTTTGGATTTGCTAGGGCCTTGTGGCATAAGCATCTGCCTCTGGTTTCAAAGGTTGCATGTTTGAATCCAGCAATAGCAAGTTGTTCTTTATATTTTTGTTTTAAGCCTATCCCAAACCTTAACCCTTACCTTAATCATTCGGAGTTAATGCCTAACCTTAAGAATTCGGAGTTAATGCCTAAACTTAACCTTGGAACAATACAGAGAAGTAACCAAACACTTCGAAATATGACGTTTGGAACAACTTTGAAATGTGAAGTTTGAGAATCATGGATGAATGTTTAATTCTGATGTGAGACTTTGAGAGCTGGTTGGGCATGCCTGCTGGCAAGGTTGGTAGACTTGAGAAAAACAATTAATAACTAAAAGTCCTGATTTTTTACGCAGATTTTAGCAGAGATACAGAGAAGCATATTTATACTGAACAAAAATACAAATGCAACATGCAACAATTTACAGTTCATAGAAGGAAATCAGTCAACTGAAATAAATGCATTAGGCCTTAATCTATGGAGTTCACATGACTGGGCAGGGGCACAGCCATGGGTGGACCAGGGAGGGCATAGGCCCACCCACTTGGGAGCCAGGTCCACCCACTGGGGAGCCAGGCCCAGCCAATCAGGATGAGTTTTCCCCCACAAAAAGGCTTTATTACAGACAGAAATTCTCCTCAGACTTATTATAAATAATGTATTAGGTAGCGTAGCGGTTAGAGCGTTGGGCCAGTGTCCTGCATTTCAGGAATCACAGTAGCAAGTAGTCCTGATCAGGGGCGTCATGCATCCCAAAAATCTGAAGATGGCTGGGGAGTGGTCCGGAGGGGGGCTAGGCCCCCCCACCATAAGTTTTTCAAACACCTGAAACCGCTTTTTCCTGCAATCTAGAGCCATGATCATTATGCTTAATACTATGTAAAAAATGTTTATTTTTCTGCATATCTAAGCATAGGCTACCTCTTGAGCTGTCTGCATGCTCCTGACTGTTGGTTCTTTTTTTAGAAGAAACTATACTGAACAAAAATATAATCACAACATGTAAAGTGTTGGCCCCATTTTTCATGAGCTGAAATAAAATATCCCAGAAATGTTCCATACGCACAAAAAGCTTATTTCTCTCACATTTTGTGCACACATTTGTTTACATCCCCGTTAGTGAGCATTTCTCCTTTGCCAAGAGAATCCATCCACCTGACAGGTGTGGCATATCAAGATGCTGATTAAACAGCATGATCATTACACATGTGCACCTTGTGCAGGGGACAATAAAAGGCCACTCTAAAATGTGCAGTTTTGTCACACAACACAATGCCACAGATGTCACACATTTTGAGGGAGGGTGCAATTGGCATGCTGACTGCAGGAATGTCCACCAGGGCTGTTGCCAGAGAATTTCATGTTCATTTCTCTACCATAAGCCTGCTCCAACGTTGTTTTAGAGAATTTGGCAGTATGTCCAACTGGCCTCACAACCGCAGACCACGTGTGGGTGAGCGGTTTGCTGATGTCAATGTTGTGAACAGAGCACCCCATGGTGGTGGTGGGGTTATGGTATGGGCAGGCATAAGCTACTGACAGCAAACACAATTGCATTTTATTGATTGCAATTTGAATGCACAAAAATACCTTGGCGAGATCCTGAGGCCCATTGTGAGGCCCATTTTTTAAAAGGAATCTTTGACCAAGAGATGCATATCTGTATTCTCAGTCATGTGAAATCCATAGATTAGGGCCTAATTAATTTTTTTAATTGACTGATTTCCTCATTCGAACTGTACCTTAGTAAAATCAATGAAATTGTTGCATGTTGGGTTTATATTTTTGTTCAGTATATTATATTCATATCTATAAATATTACTATTTATTAGTAGCCATAATTAATAAATGCAGGGTTCTGTATGGAACCAATTTTGATTCAGTGAAGAACCCCTAGGGTTCTGCTCAAAGGGTTCTATATAGAACTTTTAAGGGTTCCATATATGAAGCAACCGATAGAACCCTTTCTGGTTCTATATATAAGCTTTTTTTCTAAGAGTGTAGTGCGCGTGTACACAATGGGAGAAGTGTGGAGAATCGGGAAGCACCCAACCTTGTATATTTCATCTCCGTCAATTAGCTAATAACGGCTTGGTCTGGATGCTTATATAGCCTATCCTTCATAGAAAGAATAGTCTACTGAGGATGCTATGCTATAATGGGTAAGCAGAAAACAAACAGAAAGAGAGTTGTAACAGGCCCCAATACGATTCCAGGGCTCAACTTAAAACACCGTGAAATCTTTAGAGTGGTAATATCAAGTTCAACCTCCCCCAAAGGCCACAGCCTTAAAAGCCTTGTCCTTTATCGCTGTGTTTAGTGACTTTTTACTGCACTAGAGTACATACATCAAAGAGAGCTGGAGACAGACAGCCCCCACCCTGAAAACATCCACCGCACATGCACGGCGTCGTCTTTATCTGCTCGTGCGCAATCACCCATAGACCACAGGCGTGTGTGCACAGAGAATGTCAGAAATTGTTTTGTTTAAAATTCACAGTAATCAAATGGTTGTGTTTTCTAGTATCCCTCTAATATTTCTGAAATGACCGACGTTTAACCTTTTTTTGACATGCTTATAAAGTTTCACACTTTATGTTCAAATATGCCATAGCCCTAATGCAGGCTATAGTATAGCTGAAGAAAACCTATGCAATTACAGTAAAACAATGCTTCCTAAATTATAGGCCTTGAGTTGTGATCAAAACCTTGTCACATTGTCCTGTAGCCCATGTTGTTGGTTTTCCAGACTAATATAGCCTAAATTTAATCACAAGTAAAATGGCCAGTAATCTTAACTCTGACCACCAGGACTTGACCTCTGAGTATTTTACTTGACACCACTTTATAGGAGGAGGGGGTGAGAGGGAGAGGAGGAGGGGGTGAGAGAGGGAGGTAGAGAGATTGGGAAGAGGGGGGAGGGAGAGGGATAGGGGCACTGAAATGTGACGAAGATTGCGTGTTCTGTTCCAATTACGCAGCGTTCTATGGACACTTGGACAGGGCACTATTGAGTGAACATCTCAATTTCATTTCATTAGACGCTTCGAGGCCCTCATGAAGCATGTTGTTACAAATGGAACATGTTTTAAACGGCTCTATTACTCCCCACTGGTAATCGATCCTGCTTTCACTTCCCTTTAGAATTGAGGTCTCATGGACGTTGTATTATAACAACGTTATTATTTTGTTGTAAGATATCCATTGGGGGCCACGATTCTTTTGATTGAAGCGCTTGCATTGAATAATATAATATTGTCATACATTCTTCTTCACATTAGACGTTTTAAAATAACTTTGTTTTGTTTTAGACAAGCCATACATAATATTTCCTCAAGAATATTGATATTTCCTAAAAAAGAATTATATAATAATAGGCTATTTTCTGACCACGTCACAACTAACAACACAGATAATTTGTTCCTTGTTAAAAATCGAAATAGTTGGTTTAATAATATGGATGACTACATTACAGATTAGGCTACATAACCTGGTGTCCAAGTTATTAGTCAATTATTGATCTTCATAATTTACATATACATCTTGTTCATCATCTTAATAACTGAGTACCACCTAAGAATTACATTTAGAACCTTTAAAAAATGAATTCATTGAAAGCATGCATGCAGATTTGTCAGAATGCATCATAAGGATGTTGTTTCCTTGTGGAAATTGAGGATTGGAGAACATTGACATTCAGTGGTCTTGCTATATACTCATGATACTGGCACAAAATAATTTGCTCGTTAGCTCATGCCGTGTGATAATGTGCTTGTACACTCCCGTTCCAAAGCTGCTTGTTTTCCCCATTAGCCCTCGACCCCCCCTCTCATCCCGCAGTCGTGATTGCTCGTTCCATAGAGAGATCCTATTTCTAATTCCTAATTCTATGGCTCGTTCTCTGTTTATCCACATCCAATCGATGAAGGGCGTCATCAGGGTTGCCATCATGACGACTGCCCCATTAAGAATGACAGCTCGAGAGAAAGAGAGGGCAATTGTGATCCCTCCCAGAGCTCGTGCCGCACTCTGGAGCGCTCGCCTCGCAGGATCAGAACGTACATCCCCCTCTCTTCTCTTCTATCATTTCAATCCATTCCTCTTCTCTTTTCTCTACTCTCAGGACTGAATCCCCTCGCCACCCGTAGTGTCACAGACAGATTGTGCTCTTTCCATAGTAGCAATTTGGCGCTCGTTCATTCCACGCGCGTTCGTTTGTTCGTTCATCGGTAATGGAAAGCAGAAAAGAGATGGTGATGCTCGCGGAGGGAGGCCAACTTGGCACGGCAGTGGGCAAGACGGGCTCTAATTTGTCGGAAGCAGTTGGAAGCCCCGCGCGAGAATCACAAGGAAAAACGGTCCACAGGAACTACACGAGCACCGGTTCTGCGCCCTACTCGCGAGACAGAGCGGACGATGAGGTGGAGGGCGCACGGGGACCCGTGTGCGCCGATATAAGGCCGGTTGGCATGTCCTCTTCTACGGAGAGACACCGAATAGATCACACCAGCAAAGAAGCTAGCAGCTCGGACACAGAGTCAGACTTCTATGAGGAAATTGATGTGAGCTGCACGCCAGAAAGCATGGACTACCCCAACGGGAAAGGTAATGCACGAAACGGCATGGCACTCTTTATTTCGTTTTCTTCAACACGTTGCATGGATGTGATTTTAAAGTTTGGACAATGTAAACGATTGAATTTAATAGATGTGACAAAGTAAACATAGCCTTCAATCGATTGCTAGTAGCCTATTTCTGTGCATGCAGCAACCAGAATGAACAAGTCAATTATGGGGTAACATATACAAGACATTCCATACGATTGTATTATGGAAAGTGGGTGACAACGACTTACTGAACGTAATTGTTATGTTTTTATAACAACGTTCATTTGGAATGAATATCACATGAATGAATGAATTTCACTATAGCTTAACTCTTGGATTGTTACATCCACACCCATGAGAGATCTCATCTTAGGGTTACACCCCCTTAGCTAGGGTTTTAACCACAGTGTCACGTTTTAAACGAGTAACCCCGGAGCCAGACACCCTGTAGCAAATTAACCAATTTGCACGAACTAGGCTACTAGTAGAGATTTTAAGTACTAAACAAACCACAAATAAAAATGATAGACCTAAAAACAAAAAGACCTTTTATATTAATTCGTTGGTAGACTGATTGGATTTGTTTGGGAACCAAACCCTTGGAGAACTGACAACAAACTGTTCATGTCTTTATGGAAAATAGGCTCCAAATGAATTGTCTAATGCTTATTATCATATGTATTTTTAGGACCTGTTTTCAAATTAATGGGAAAAATTAGCCTACATGTTGAACGAATGATTATACATAGGCCTATGCTATTCTCTTCACAGTTATTTCATGAAAATATTATACTGATATCAGGTAAAATTTGGTTCGGCATAAAATATAATTATCACAATGATTAATTAATATAATTGTCCCTTCTGCAGGTATGGTATTCATTTATATGGATTGTTTAGTTTACTGTATATAGGCCTAATTTAGGATTAGATGCATTTTGGCTAGTTATGGTCCTATGCTTTTGTCAACCTCAATCAAACGAAAAATACAGGCTGCAGTGACAATTATACAAAAACTAAAATAATAAAATAAACCACTGTACAACACACTGTACAATTGTAGGATACTATTGTATCATCAAATGTATCTTTACTTTAGGCTATTCGATAACAAACAATCAGATTTATGTTTTCAAACCATTCCAGGTCGAAACGGTGATTCCCCCAGCCACCCGAGTGACAGCGGCATGGATCCCGGTAAGATGGGTTTGGGCCAGGGATCGCTGTCCTACGGGGCCGACGCGATGCGACGGTACCGGACAGCCTTCACGCGTGAGCAAATCGGCCGGTTGGAGAAGGAATTCTACCGGGAGAATTACGTGTCCAGGCCAAGGAGATGCGAACTGGCGGCTTCACTAAATTTACCAGAAACCACAATCAAGGTGAGATTAGGGCCTATAATAACAACAACGATATTTCAACAACATAATACCACTTCTCGACTACATCTAAACCTACATTATTGCCCATAGAACATATTGGTCATATAAAGGACATAGCTTAATTGCGAATCTAAAAAGAAAACAATGTGAGTTCGCTTGAAATCATATCAGACAAATTGAGGCCTAGGCTATGGACTATATTTATGTGGGTTTTCAAAACAATACAGTAAATGCAGCTGCAGGCAACATTTACCAAAATGAAACGGTGATTAATTTTGTTAATGATTAAACCGGAAACATTTAAGGGTCGAGCTTAAGTATTGACTGATGAATTTGGATTTGCATATGGTAATTGGTCTGGCCACTGCTCGCCAACTGTAAGGCCATTTGGAACCATTTGGAATCCCTTGTTTGTCTCGTCACAGACTGATGAAGGTTAATATTTTACCCCGCCTGTCTGTATGTCTGTGTTCCATAGGTGTGGTTCCAGAACCGCCGGATGAAGGACAAGCGGCAGCGTCTGGCCATGACGTGGCCTCACCCTGCCGACCCCGCCTTCTACACCTACATGATGAGTCACGCAGCCGCTACCGGGAACCTCGGTTACCCCTTCCCGTCCCACCTACCATTACCGTATTACTCCCACCTTGGGGTCGGAGCCGGTTCCGCCTCCTCCGCCACCCCGTTCTCCAACCCCCTCAGGTCCCTCGACAGTTTCCGGATGTTGTCTCACCCCTACCAGAGACCCGAGCTTCTGTGTTCGTTCAGGCACCCGTCCCTGTACCCCAGCCCGGCCCACGGCCTCGGTCCCGGGGGGAAGCCCCTGCTCCTGCCTCGCCTGTCACTCCGCTCAATCAAACGGCCTTCCACAGAGGCCTACCGGGTCAGACTTCCCGTGCTCCCCAACGAGCAGGACTGACGCGTTTTTGACGTTTACTCCGTCGGTGTTGAGCAAGTCCTTGCCGGTGACTTTGGACCAGAGAGAAGAGGTGCCATTGACCAGATAAAACGAAGAGAGCACATCCACATGTGTTCATTGGACTGGGTCAAACAAGCTCAGAAGAGTGCCATAAGCTTTTACCATGAGCTTTTATCAAACTTCAAGAAAAAACATGAACAGGACTCAAACAGCATGAATACAACGATCACGTGGAGCAGACTCCATACAAGCAGCAGCATAAACGATAGATCCTGCAGTGCGCGCTGTTATATACACCTGCTACATAACAAAAAGGAGCGATGACCGAGCTCGGGGCGCAAACAATTTGCCTACCTTGTTTTTAAGCTATATGTTTTCAAGCACCAACGCGATGATCTCACACATCATGATAGTCTATCCACTGAAAAAATACATTTCAGTTGCAAAACCCCATGCAGACTATGAAACATTATGAGATCGGACAAAAACCACGTTTGATTTATTGAAGATTAATTTGGTGCGAGGAAAGAGAGCCCGGGTGGACTGGGAATTACAGACAAACGTTTATCTCCGTGATGGATGGCGTTAACGATTTATCTTTAAGCCTATTTGTAGTCTCTTCACGTGTTCAAATTGACCTGTTTTGTAAATTGCACTAGAATGATCTATTCCAACTTCCTTTTTAACAAGGGAATTTGTTAACAGACTTGCACCGTCTCATTATGTCTCTCTCTCCCTACCCGAGCCTCCTTTTTTGACGGGCTGGGGCCGAAATGTGCAGATGCTGGTAAAATTAGTAGGTGATGTAGGCCTATATGTACGTGGTGGATGAATTTTGAGTGTTGAATAAATGATAATACCGGCGCGCCGAGGCCGGGGAGGGTTCGTTGCTGCCAAACGGTAACAAGGCGCCAGGGGAACGGATTAGCTCGCGCTGGCTTGACGGGGAAGAGGAGGAGAGGTGACGGGAGTCTGAGAAGAGAACGAGGGAGAAAAGGAGAGGAGGATAGAGAAGGGAAAGGGAAGAAAGAGAAGCCATTGGACAATCACTCCAGGCAAATTAGGCCGAGTTCGTTCGCTCGAGCTGCCCATCTCACCCATAAACCCTCGACTGAACACTTGCCACCACCTCTCTCCCCGTCTCCCCAATGCTACTGCGTCCTACTTCACCTTCAGCCAATGTTCATAAGACCGAATGCTTGGATAAATGCATTTATAACGACTGATTCTGAAAGATAAGCCTTATATTTATTAGCCAACTCATTCTAAAATATTTTTGGGAAATTGCTATTATTTCTTTATGTACATTTCTCGCTTTGCACTGTTACTGACATAGTATTTCATCGAAAGAACCCTGTCATGTTTTAGGGATAGTACGGTAAAAAGGCTCAAGAGAGCGAATTCATATAGGTGCTGAACTCTGGTAATTTTTGCTGAATAAATTGTTGGATTGTTCTGGACTTCAAATTTGCAATAAACAGCATTTCAAACAACAAAATCTATCGAATGTTTTATTTTATGACTCACTATAGGCCTACTAGTTTATTGCAGCTTGGGCATCAAGGGAAGACCTGCATGTAGAGTCCTACTCTAAATCAAATTAAAATAATCTTCCAAAAGGTTTTTCATATTCTATTGATATGGAGCGAATTCATTGCTCATTGTAAGGCCTAAAATAATATAATTATGTAACTTCCTATCATTTCCTTTATTGGTATGCTATTTTAGACAACACAATGGGCCTAAAGGTGCAAGACATTGTCATTGAATATTGCTCCTGACACAAGCACTAATTTGGCTGAAGTGATCGGTGTCAAAACAGAGATGCTGGGCCTCGTCTTGCGATGTGTGCGCGAGATTGTGTGCGGCAGCTAAGTGGTCCCCGGGCTCCATTGACGCCTGTCATATTTTCTCCACCGGTTAATAGACAACGGCAGAATTAGTTGTCTCGAAAAGATATTGGAATGCAAAAAGATCGATGATCTAACCGGCCCCACCAATCAGCGCGAGCTTAATTGGCTGCATTTTAGGTATACATTTAGGCGTGCGCTCTGTAAACGAGAGCTTTCTGGATATAATGGGACACATTGGAAAAAGGCTGTAGCACCCCGAGCTCAAATAGGCTTCTAATAGGCGTTTACATCCTCGAGAGGGTAGATTAGAAGTTATTTCAGCAAATAAAAAGTGAAAATGTGTGGCGGTGGATAAAATAATCCCAATAGACTATGGCGTTGAAAACGCAGTAACAATACATTATCTCTATAACTATGCAATTAGGCTAAAATTAGACTAATTAAGTCATTATCGTTCTCTAATTAACTAATTTCCAATCCTTATCTAACGAATAAATGAGACAACATTACACTACTGTTGTTTTTACATAGCCTACCATTTTAGGAAAAAATAGCCTATAGCCTTATTATCGAGATACAGTTTACGTCATTTAGCAGATGATCTTATCCAGAGCGCTTTACAGGAGTAATTAGGATTAAGAGCGTTGCTCAAGAGCACACTGACAGCTTTTCCGCCTAGTCTGCTGAGGGATTCGAACCAGCGACATTTGCAGTTACTGGCCAACCGCACTTAACCGCTAGCCTAACTGCGGCCCTACCGCTTCCTTTCCCTTTCCAATAAACACAAGTTTCTAAAATATATTAGCCTATATCTATATTTATATGTAGGAAAATATAGTGTTGGCTAATTATTCGTTAGACGCTCCCATTCCGCGATCATCTCCGTGTGTCACGAGGTAAAAGGTTCGTCCTAATCAGAGCCCCCCCCCCCCCCCCCCCCCCCCCCCCCCTCCCAGATATACCCTCCACCCCAAGCGCGCCGGTGTGATTGATCGCCTTATTAAGTGGAGTTCTTGTAAGTGTGACCAAGCTGATTAAAATGCATATGTTTGGAATAATACACCGTTTAAGCAGCCCGGGTAGGGGCGAAACCACGAGGCAGATTTATGTAAGCTATCACGCCATATTTTAGCCTGATATGGAGGTTGCAGAACGGAAAGGAAAATAGTTTTGGCTGGCATAATAAAATAATAATGTAAAATAAAATGTAAACGAAATACATATTCAAATGCATCGGCCATTTCAAAATGCTGTCCCATTGGACAGTGACAGTGTGAGTTATGGTTAGCAGCCAGGAGCTTAGTTTGATTATCCCATACAGTAGCAGCCACCCCCACCATATGACAATATTTTCAAACGCGCGTCAAAAGTGATACAAATAACGACTACATTTACCCAACAAGGCATGTGGATCCCCAGCTCTCCCTTACTATGTTGAATCCTCAATGGCCTAATCCACCATCAACACGCCATTTAATCGCTGGAAGACAGTAAAGCCTACGACCGAACGGCTGCCATATTCCGGACATAACAGCAATTACATCGGCCTTATAAGATGTTATTAGTGAGAATTGGCTCAGGGCTCGTCGGATCCCTGACTAGCACAAAGCTTCTTGATAGGGGAGGTGCGGAGCAGCTGTCCACTGGAGAGAGAAAAAAACAAAGCCATCCTATCGGAGGCTGCTGCCGCTGCTGTTTAAATTGTATTACATTCTAATTTACAGGCCCTTGTCATAGCGCGCGGAGCTGGCGAAGGGAGGCGTGGATGGACCAATCACTGAGTAATGATGATGAATGGGGAATTAATGCACATACAAGCAAGACAATTTAAGCCTTCATCTGTTTAAATAGGCTTCCAATATAATTTGGAAACGGAGGTCACGTTAAATCAATCGGGCGACGCTTGAAAGTCGTTTTCGGTGGCGTCTTTATCAACATTATTTACGGTGCACGGGAGATGGCTTTTATACCGGGGCTACGGGCTCGGGAAGGGAGGAGGAGGGAGAAGGGCCTGGCTGCTCAGAGCGGGTGACATGAGGGAGTGGGGGTGCCTCTTCAATTGTCACCGGTTATTTTATTCAGGTGGATCTAAACAGGTTGTAGCCTAGCTATAGCGTTTGTTGATGTGAGTCAATTCAGACTGGCACATAACACTTTCCCTCACCTAATAGAGCTGTATGGATATTAAGCCAGAGTTTAACGGACCAATATTTTATTCATGCATGTTTACACCATATGTTTAAACATAATGTAGCCCCAGAGACAAGAGAAATGCACTGATTGGCAAGAGGCAAGATATGGGGGTTTCCAAAATGCATTCTGCAACGCCATTGGATGATTGAGTAATTCGCTGACTTTATGGTTCCTTAACAAATAGGCCTTTACTCACTCAAACTGTTCTCCACAAGCACTTTAGGGATGCACCACCAATTTGGCATGACAGGGTCGGTACCTAGGCCTACCCCAGCTAACAACAAGTGTTCCCACATCTTTAGATAATGTTCCCTTAAGATTCTCATTAGGTCATTAATTAACATTTTCATAGGAATGTTCCATTGATGTGAAAGGAATGTTTCCAAGAGATCCTTCCCTTAATATCAAATAGCCCTTCCCCAGAATGTGGTTACCATTTCCTCAGAATGTAAGATATTAATGTTCTAGACATGTTTCATGAGAACGTTGCAAGAACATTCATGTGTCCAGTTTTCTGTGGGTTAGGAGAATATTCCATCAACATCCCCCCAAAATACATCTTAGCTCTGTTAAAAGTACACTTAAGAAAAACTTGTATTGATCATAGTGATTCAGGAGTATCACTAAAACAGGTTAACATGCCCCACTAACATTAGACAACTATACTGAAATAAGAAAATGATAAGAATACTCAGATTAACTAATAGCTGTCACGGTGATAGTGGCATCTCAGGAAGATCAGCATACCATAAACCCAGAAGTTTTGAGTTCAAATTCCAGGTGAGGACTGTTGAATAATAATTTCTGTATAAATTAACATGCACAATGTGTGTCAAATAGGCCTATGTAAAATGAAAACACTATATTTTATAAGTACTGTGTGTGTGTGAGTGTACGAAATATCCCTTCCGTTTGTAGCTGTATTGATGTGGAAATCTCTACAACAAAACGGTT